AATGCAATCACAGAAGTGCAAATGAAACACATCTATGAGAATGGCAAAAACAGAAAACTGACCAAGCCACATGCTGATGAGAATGAGGAAAAGCTGGACATCTCACACATTGTTGGTTGGAATGTAAAATGGTGAGGCCACTTGTGGACGTGCAGAATGGATGGCCTAGCTGCCATGTGGCTGAGCAACTGGACTCCTAAAAATCTGTCACAGAGGAATAAAACATTCTGTTCAAGGAAAAACCTGTACATGAATGTTCATGTTATTCATATCAGTAAAAAGCCAGAAAGAGCCCACATGCCTGCCAGTGGGTGAATAATTAAACAAACATATGTAACACAGAGTGCTACTCAGCAACAAAAACAAAACTACTGATAGACACAGCAGCCTGGATGATTCTCCAGAGAATTACTCTGAGAGAAAAATCCAATCCAGAAGGTTGCACACTGTGTGATTCCTTTTATACAACACTCTTTGAATGACAACATATCCAAATGTTGGGCATGTTCGTGGCCACCAGTGTGAAGGCGGAATGCATGTGAGGTGTGAGGAGGAGGGAACTGAGTTCACTAAAAATACAACATGGGGGTCTTATGGGGATACAGATATTTGCATTTCCTTACTAAGTTTTTATATAGAAGGTCCCCAATTTTGATGGTTTCACTGTCAATTTTTCAAGTTAAAAATGGAGATAAAGTGATATATATTCAGGAGAAACCATATTTTGAGTTTTGAACTTAGATCTTTCTGTGGGCTACCAATCGTATGGTCTAGTTCTCTCTGGATGGTGGGCAGTGGCAGTGACCACAGCTTCCAGTCAGTCCTGCAACCATGCGGAGAAGCCACTGACACTCTCCCGTTGCTGTGCCACAGAGCTGTGAGGTGTGGTATGTAGGTAGGTTAAATGCATTTTTTATTTATTATATTTTCAGCTTCCAATGGGTTCAGCACAACACAACTCCACTGCAAATAGAGGGACACTGGTACCGTAGTTTTACGAGATGTTACCAAAAACACATGGAATCTCTGAGTTATTCCTTTACCAGAATATGAATTTATAATTATCCCCAAATAACAGGTTTAATTTTTAAAACAAGATAGAAATGTTTATGGAAAAATTGGGGAATTATGAGTACTGACTAATTAGAGTTTTTAGTGTGATGGTGGCATTATGTTCTTGCTTTAAAAGATATTTGTTACCACACTAGGAGTTACTGCTCAATGAAACGGGAGCCAATACCATGGCACTGGTGTTTGCAAGAAGAAAAAGTTTTATTGTGAGTTAGCAGCCAAGGAGACAGGAGGCTTGCTCAGGTCTGTCCTCTCAGTTGGTCGGGAGCAAGGAAGTGGTCCAGGCTATGGGGAACTAGAGGGCTGGTGGGTTGCACGAGGAGTCCTGGTGGAAGAGTCTGCCCCAGCGCACCCAGAGCCCTGGTGGGTGTGTGGATAATTCTAGTTGGCCCTGCCACTATGGAGGACCCTCACTTCTTATTGAGGCCCTGAGGCCATTCTCCTTCCTCAGCTTCTGCTCATCCTCAGAGATGTTCAGTTCAGGCAGGCTCTCCAGGTGTTTTCGATCAGGTCCTAGGGCTCAAGACCTGCAGTCTCAAAACAGCCTGAATAGATATTGGGAGCAGAGGACTTGCCATTTCATGCCTTGGTTTGATATTCTTAAAAGATCCAAACAAAAATATTTACAGATGAAATGATATATTGTGGATTTGCTTCAACAGAACCCAGAGTGAGGGAGAAGCAGGTAGCAGTCATTGTGCATGAACAGATAACTGTCACAGGTGGCAGGCAGATGTGAAGGTTTGAAACACTGTACTTTACAAGTGCTTGCCCCTAGCTGGAGTTGGTGAAGATGTGGACTGGTAAATAGACCCCATGGAAATCTCAACCCTCTTATTTATTAGCTATGTGACCTTTGGCAAGTTATTGAACTTGTCTTTCCCTATGGGCTAACATCTCGCAGGACAATTGTGTGGACAAAGATTACCAAGGAAGAGTGTAGGTGAGGAGAGGGAGGTTCTTGGGTAACTTCACCCATGAAAGGGGGCTGAGGGACAGTTAGCTGGAGCGGGGTTAGCAGCCCTAAGCTAAGTTGGACAGCATCATGGAATCCAAAAGAGTTTAAGAGGTAAGGCAGATGATATCTGAGAAGAGGCCATTAGATTCGGTTTTCAGGAAGTCACTGGTGCTGACAATGGCTTCTGTTGAGTGGAGAGGACGGGCCCAGATTTAGTGCTGAGAGGTAACAGGGAGACAGGAAGGGCGTTCTGGCCACCCTCAGATCCTTGACAGGAAGCCTGCAGCCCCAGGCACGAGAACTGCTGACCCCATTGGCCACTGTTAAGGATGTTGTCTTGAACACAGAGGGCATATACTCACAAGTGTGATTGCTGGATTATGTGGCAGATCTGTGTTTAATGTTTGGAGAAATCTACTTCATGCCATTTTTACTGAGCTGCACCATTTTATATTCCCAGCTGCAGAACACAAGTCTTTCAATTTCTCCACATTCTTGCCAGCATCTGTCATTGCTAAGAACAAAGAAAAGGCAGCTGAATTCCACAGAAGAGGATGGGCTTGTGTAGAACAAACCTGAGAGGGACAACTGTTGTGAGGGCCCCTCTTACAGGCTGAGGAGTTTTTGTGGGTTTGCAGGAGGGAGCTGCTGCCATCTTGAAAGGGGGTCGTACTTTGCTTTGCGATTTGTGATCACTGGGCAGTAGTGCCTACCTGTGTTTTCTCTGTGACTGCCATGCTCCCTCCTTAACTCGCTCAAAATTTTGGGGCTTGTCCTAGTTGACTTCTGGTCAAGACAGCAGTTTCTATCTCCCTCAGTTATTGATTGATTGATTGACTTATTTATTTATTTTAATGCAGTGCTGGAATGAAAACCAGGTCCTTTGGTGTGCTAGGCCAAAGGTCCACCACTGAGCTACAACCCTAGCCCTGTTTTGCTTTTTGATAACAGCTGTGAGGTGATAGCTCCTTGTAATATTGCCATAAATGAGTAAAGAAAATGCAGTATATACACACAGTGGACTATTATTCAACCCTAAAAAGGAAGGAAATGCTGCCTTATGCTACAACATGGATAAATGTGGAGGCCATCATTCTCAGTGAAATAAGTCAGACATACAAGGTCAGGTACTGCATAGTTCCTCTTACACCAGGTGTCTAAAACAGCCAAACGTGCAGAGGCAAAGAATATAGTAGTGGTATCCAGCTCTAGCGGTAGGGTCTGGGGAAACGAGTAGGTGTTATTCAGTGAGTGTGGACTTGCAGTGGTGCTAGAGGTCTGCTGCACAACATCACGCCTGTAGTTAGGAAGACAGCACTGTGTGCTTCACATTTTGTTAAGAGGATCTCTCAAATGTTCTAACACACCCAAAAGAAAAGCCAGAGGCACACAAAGAAGCTTTTGGAAGTGGCAGATATGTTTACTATCTTGAGTTGGTGATGGGATACCAAGTATTTTTCTGGGTCAAAGTTCATCAAATCAGAAACACTGAATATGTGCAGGTGTGTATATCAATTACATCTCAATAAAGCTGAGAGGGGGAGGGAGAGGGAGAAGAGAAATGAGAGAGGGGAGAGGAGGGGGGAGAAGAGAGAGGAGAGAAGAAAGACAGGAGAGAGGAGAGGAAAGAGGGGAGAAAGGAGAGGGGAGAGGGGAGAAGAGAGAAAAGAGGAGAGGGGAGAGAAGGGAAGGGAATAAGGCAGAGGGGAGAGGAGAGGGGGGAGGGGGAGGGGGAAGGGGAAGAGAAGAGAGAGGAGGAGAGAGGGGAGAGGGGAGAGGGGAGGCAGGAGTGGAGGGAGGGAGGAGGAGAAGCAGCCACCAGTCGTGAGGGAGTCTCAGAGTGAGGGTAGCAAGGCCCCACTGTCCACACAGACTGGGTGGGGGTCACCAAGCTTTGTCGCCTACCCAGTCCCCCCATTATAGGCTTTGCTTGATGCTCATCCAAAAGCAACTGCAAAAGAAAGGAGTATGATTGGAGCATCAGGGATGTGAATTCTGACTAGAGATGACGAAATTGTGATTTTTTTTTTTTAAATGGTTAGTTTTTGGTTTGTATAGACTAGCACTAAAACATTTATAGATGAAATGATAGTCTGGGTTTGCTTTAAAGTGTGAAGAAAATGACACTTTTCTCTGGGGAGAAATTCTGAAACACGTCCCTTGGAAGTCAGCGCTCTGCACCGAGCCTCCTGTGTGGACGCTTCCCCATCGGTGGCCCTCGCGCGCGCCGTGCGCAGGGCTGTGCTCGCGCGGCACTCCCATCACTCCCGCGTGTCGGCCACACTGACCCAGCTACACCCACGCAGAGGGGCCTGTTCCGCTCGGAAGTCCCCGGGGGAAGGTTCCCACCTCAGGGCGGTGCTGTGGCTGTTGCTCTCAGTCAGCGGGGCCCCGAGGCCTTCGCGCCCAGCTCTGCGGCGCTGCTGCCCCGTCAGGACACGGTGACGCGTGTTCCCTGAGGCTCCTGGGCGGGCCGGAGGCCGAGGTGCTGGGTTCTTCGAGAGGTGCAGCCTAGAGGGGGTGCTCAGGTCGGGCTGCATCGCCCTAGACAGGGGCTCCCGCTGCTCCTTCCGGAAGAGCGGCGGTGCGGCGGCCCGGCGTGGCCGTCACTGGCCCACTTCCTGCCCGCTCACGTCCGCTTCCGGCCGCCATCACGGCGCTCGCTAGAGCCGGCGGGCGGTGCCAGAGCCGCTGCGCAGCCTCAGAGCCAGGACGCAAACGCACGTCTGTGCCGCTCAGCCTCCGGTGGTTCATTACGGCAACACAGAGTGCACCGCGAGAGCGGGTGAAGGCTCCCTCACTTCCTCCTCTCCAAAGCCGGACTGACTCCAGCCCTTCTCCACGCTCAGAGCCTGGCCAGCTGCAACCTCAGCCCCTTCTCTGACTGAGGATGTGAGACCCCCGCCGAGGTCCAGCGCCGCCCGCAGTGGCCCAGCCTGGAAGGAACAGAAACCCACAGCGCACAGGAAGGTTGAAGCATAGGGCCCAGCTTTATTGAGGAGACCACATTCATTCTCTGGTGTTCACAGTGACCGGCGAAGCGGTTTGTTCATAAACGTGTCATCCTGTCCCCGCACCCCCCCCTCCAGCCACACAAGACGATCTACATTCAGAAGACAGAAAGAACATGCTGTACAATGAACACTTTCCACCACAACAGTATCGTGACCATTTGTCACTTTGTCCAGAGAAATGCAAAACAATATTTACAAGACAGACCCTTTGAAAGTTCAAAACTTAGACGCGTGTGGTATACTTCTAAAACTAACATCATATATTTTTCCAAGTAAGGAAGGCTGGTCATTATAAAAATACTTTACATAAATTCAAAGTGAGAACTAAAACATTCAATCCTATAAAAATATCTTTTACTAATAAAAGTATCAATTTTTAGATAAGTGCTTTTTATCAACAACAGGTTATGCAAAATTTCAGGAAATACCCACTAGGGCAGACAGCCCACGGAGAATGGACTTGTCAAGTGACTTCAAGGCTTAGGCATCAACAATGCTTTGTTTCAGAGACAGACCATGCATTTGACTATGTTGCACGTGAATGGCGCGTGTATTCTACAGAGTGAACTCAACTATCTACTTATTATGAAAGTCACTTATAAAGACAAACTATTCAGCCTATAAAAGGAATTTTCAGGTTGGCATTGCCTCCCAGGGAAGACAAATGTTTTCTCAGGATTCAGCCACTTTTCACCTTGAAATGCCTAACTTGGAAAACCTGTGATTGCATTTTGACCACTATCTGAAATCAATTCATTCATTTCATTTTGTTTACTCTCTTTTAGGGCATGGTTGGGGTGATTTCTTTGAGTCTGGGCTCTTTTGGATCTCCTGAAACATACTTTCAGCAGCAGGTAACACAACTCAGCCACATTGAGCAGCATGCAAATCACAGATGCAGAAATCATAAAAATGGTAAACACAGTTTTCTCAGTCGGCCTGGAAATAAAACAGTCAACAAGATTGGGGCATGGATCAATCCCACATTTCAGCACCCAGGGCAGGTGGTACCCATTGTAGAGGAAGTAAAACACATACATGAAGGCGGCTTCAAAGATGATTCGGAAGAAGATGCTGCTGGTGTATGTCCACCACAGTGACCCCTCAATGTGCACCTTCTGCCTTTTAATGTCCTCCACATCTTTGAATTCATTCTTCTTCTCTCCACGCCTGAACTTGCGGGTGGTTTCATGTCTGTAGTAGGCTACATGCATGGCCACCAGTAGCGCTGGGGTAGACACGAAGATGAGCTGCAGGGCCCACAGCCGAATGTGGGACACTGGGAAAAAGTGGTCATAGCACACGTTCTTGCAGCCAGGTTGCAGAGTGTTGCACACAAAGTCCTCTTGCTCATCACCCCACACTTCCTGGGCGGCCACCACGAGGATCATGACCCGGAAGATAAAGATGACCGTGATCCACACCTTCCCAATGCTGGTGGAGTGTTTGTTCACACCCCCGATGACAGTGTGCAGGGTTCCCCAATCCATGGTGCCAGTTTATTTCTAAGCAGACAGAAAGGAATAAGGTTAGGCTGTGGAAAGTGCCTTTGATTGACAAAATAGTATCGTAGGGACCCTGTAGATGCAAGCACATTTGTTTTAAGTTAGGCTGTGATATTTTATAATGTTAACCTCCTAGTGTGCTAGTAAGAGGTTGTCTAATAAGGAAGGCTCATTCCAAACATTCTGTCGTTTTTGACCAGAAATAGCTGTTTGGGGAGAAAGGTGTAAGATCATCTTGATTCAACTGAATTCAGATTACAGGTTAGGTTGCTGTATTCCACTAACTGAGGACCACAGGTAAGTTGTGTTTAAGCTGTTTTTTAATCACTCTGTGAATATATTATACATATATCAGTCTGGCTCTTCCTAAGGGCTCACAGAACTTCCTCAGTAGGTTTTATTCATTAAGTAGTTTATTAGGCCAATGAAATCATTTATTAGAATGACACAATCTGGTTTCCCTAGCACACTAAAAAGATTTAAAAACCATTAGAGGGCTGGAAGACAAAGGACCAGGCTTTCTACCCTGAGTGGAGTGGCCCAAACCTGTAACAACAATTTCCAGAAGTGGAAGTACCATGTGAGCTGAAATTTACAAAAAACAAACCCAAAAAACCTACACACACATAAAAATAAGGATATTAAAAGTAACATAACTGAGACCAAAGTGTGAAAAAGCAGTGGTTTTCATTCTTGAGTCAAATGGTATAATTGTAACTGAGAACCAATAAAATACAGAAATTCTTTTTGGGGTGTGGGGGCTCATACATGCTAGGCAAGGCTCTACCACTAAGCTATACCCCAGCCCCTATATTAATCAAAATAAACTTTTCTAGAAAATCTGTTTCTCCAAATACAATAGAGGTGATGAGCTAGAGCCTATGTTATGAGAGGAACTCCAGTCTTCATTCCCCAAAGAACTAAATTTTAGAGCATAGAAAAGTTTGTGGATGGGATCAGCATACCCTCCCCTACTCTAGAAGCTTCACTGACTTTCTTTTGTTACTAAAGTTTTTTTTTAAAGTTTAATTATGGGTAAAATAGACATAAAAAATTTACCATCTTAACTAGTTTAAATGTCCAGTTAGTGGTGTTAAGTACATTCATCTTGCTGTGAAACAGATCTCCAGAACCCTTTTGTCTTCCCAAATGAAAATTCTGTACCCATTAAATAATAATTCTCCATTCTGTTCCCCAACCCTTAGCATCCATCTGTCTCCTTTCTGTGCCGGTGACTTTGACCACTCTAGGTATGACATATATAAGAATCATATATCCGGGAGGAGGACTGTTGTGGGTTTGAGGCCAGCCTGGGCTACAAAGTGAGCTCAAGGCCAGCCTGAACTGCACAGCAAGACCATGTCTCGAAAAAGACAAACCAAAAAAAATCATGTGTCATCTTTTTGTGATTAGGTTTTGTCACTCATCATAATGTCCTCAAGGTTCATTCATGTTCAGAATTTCCTTCCTTTTTAAGGATATGTAGTATTCTACCAAGTGGATTTACTGCATTTTGCTTATCCATTCAACCTGTCAGTGGACCCTTCTTGGATTACTTCTACCTTTTGGTGATTGTGAACAATGCTGTTATGAACAGAGTTTACAGGTATCTGTTTGAAATCTCACTTTCATTTCTCTTGGGGTATATATCCAGAAATGGGATTTCTGATTCCTATGAGAATTCTATCTTTAATATGTCTATAGGCAATCGGAGTACTATTATTCAGAATCCAAGTGCCTCAATGCCTAGAGAAAGACAAATACCCTGATCTCCAAAAGAGGACCAAGCCTACATGTGTGAGCCCGGGAACTTTCTGTTTAATCCCTAGCAAAGTTCTAAAACAGCATCATTACACTTCTCGGTAAGAGTTCGGTAGCAGTAACCATGATGCTGGCACTGGCGATCCCCTGGGGGATTTGTAGGGTATGAACAGGTGATGGGGTTTGGATTAAGAGCCTCTTATTTCACTAGAGGAGCAGTGGAGCTAAGAGGAACACTCTAGCTCGAGGAAGACTGCGTGCTATGGGATCTGCTTTTTTTTTAAGCTGAGAAAAATGACCCAGGCTTTCTAAAGCTGTGGCCTCTTAGCCCTCCAAACATCTAATCAGAGGTCGCTGAGGTCTGCTGGGCTGGGCAGAGGGAACTCGCTGGGGAGTAGTCATCTTGGGGCTCTGGAATTCAGATCTATTTATTAAGCCCTTCCTTTCATATTTTACTTATTTCATGACCCAAAGAGACTTTCAATGTCCACAGCAAATGCACTGTTGACTTTAAAAACTCGTTTATTTATTTAATAATTAAAAATTAATTCTGAGTGCCTGATGAAAGGCATTACAATATATTGCCCTAATTGTTGCTATTCTATCCTGGAGGCATTTTAAGGTGCGGCCAGCAGGGATGCAAAACTTTGCGTCTTGATGATTAAAAATATTTAACCTCAGTGGTTCTTTATGGGGGCCAGTCCTGTTTAAGAAAGGAAGGTATTCTCTCATTTAACATAAACATCTCCCAGTCTGCCCCAAAACACGCTTAATCTGCAAGGTTTTGATTTATCAAATAAAAACTGTGCATTCTCCCAAATGTTCCAAAGTCTATAGCATTTAAACTCCCAGGCAGGTAAAAAAGCTATTCCCTGTGTTTTCTATCATGTTCCCTGCTTGAACAGGGCACATCTGCCATCACCTGTCACCTGCCCTTCCAGGAAGTAGGCAAATGGATCACGATGTCAAAGACAACAGGACCTGAAAGAATTCTGAAGTCACAGAAGTCAAGGGCTCAAAATTTCCTCATAAGAATATTGGTCGCAGCTTCCTAAGCTGACCAGAAAATAATCTATTTCACCATGCTCACTGACTTTGATTCTAAAAATCAGTAATTTTACTTATATCTTTAAAGGGAAAAAAGTAAAATGCCCAGAAAAATAAGATGGAAAATGAGATCAGACCCTGGTACAAGTATGTAGCCTAGTGTCTCTCAAGGCATTAATCAGGCAAAAAACCAAACCATCTGGATCCAAAGAATCTTCCTGCAAGAGCGACAAAGGCCTTGCTACTTATAACAGCAGAAACGATCCAGGACGACAGGCTGTTCCTACTGTCCCTATCACTGACCTGGGTCCTCAGGGGGCTGCTCGAAGGGTGTCAGCGACCCTAATCCATGTTTCCTGACAGAGAAACATCTTTCTGTTTCTGTCATCAGACAGAGCATCTTTCTGATGTCTAGGGGACATCATTCCTGAGGTCACCAGTGAAGCCCTGGGTGTCTTTCCTGCACATGTCACTCTCTGAAAGGACAGCTCACTTTACAACCACTGGAGATATGTCAGGTGCAAACTTCCTGACACAAGGCTGCAGTCACTGGGAAGGCCTGGCTGACCCCCACCAGAGGAGCTGCAGAAGGATGGAGGTGACAGTGGGCTGGACTTTCTGCCAGTTTCAGAAGGACACTGGCTTTCCCTTTGCCCTGCTAGCCGCAGTGTCATGGGCAGGAGCACCTGGCCAGGCGGGATCGACCACAGTGGGCCTCTGATGTGCTGGGCTTCAGATTTTCTTTATAAAAACACATAATGGGGGTGTGCGTGTGCAGGTAATCTTTCATCAGTACTTTGCTTAAAGAAGACTGGAAGATCCAATACTCATAGTGAAACTGTCATTTGTTTCAAATTTCCAAAACCACTGCACCTATTTGCACCCTTTGAACTGCAGAAAACAAAATCTCTCCTCGCTTTCAGGCTTGAACAGGGCTGGGGCCAATTAAAGGATTTTTTTTTTTTTTTTAAAATAAAAGGGAAACAACTCCTTCTTGGTAAGCCAGAAAGGTTTTCACTGGTACCTTCCTGGCCCCCTTGTTAGGAGCAAATAGCTCTTGTAGTAGTCACCTTATAAGAAAGTGTTTACATTTAAGCTTAAGAAAGTAAATTGTATCTAGTTTTAGGGCACATCTAATTACAGTAACTCCATGCCAGATTCTTAATCTTGTATTAAATCAGAGTACTATTTAATACCAGTCCTAAATATTTAACTCTAAAAATAAGTGACAGTGATCTTACTACTTTGGAGTATCTTTTTTTTTTTTCCCCCTGTGGTAGTGGGAATTGAACCCAGGCCCCTTGGGCTGACCTACATTCCTTTATTTTATTTATTTTGAAACAGAGTCTTGGCCAGGTTGGGCTCAAACTTTGGATCCTCCTGCCTCAGCCTCCAAGATTACTGGTATTAGAGGCATGGACCACATCTGGATCAGTAACTTACTTCTTACAGCATTATGAAGATTGATTGTTCTTCCCTTTCATAATTCAGATCACTTAAGTCCATGGGCATTCTAACAATAATCTAATTTCTTGATTGTCTAAAAACTTTTTATTTAAGAATTTAATCACAACTGGTTTAACAATGCCATTTTAACTGTACTGAAGGCGGAACCAAACTAAAAGGCCTAGAAATTATAGCATATACTAAGGAGTAGAAAGGATCTTTCTTTCTCTAGGGAGTTGTGCTCCCTTTGAATGACCCTTTCAGAGGCATTCAGCAGGAAGAGAGCTCACTCCCCACAGTGTGCCCTTGAGAACTGTGCAGACGGCAGGAAGCATAGCACAAGCCCCCACTGCCACCCGAGCCTGTGTCCAGGACAGGACGCCCAGTGCGGCAGGCCTGGAGGGGGAAGGCAGGTCTCCCCCACCCCCCGGGGCTCTGGACCTTCTCCTCTCCACTCCGGGGAGGTCAGCTGTAAACCTGAGCTCTACCTCTGCAAGCCAGAGGGATGTCACTTGTGGAGCAAAAATACAGTTACCTTCTTGTAACTTCTCCCACACATGCTCACCATCCCAGTACTGTTACAGGGTAAGTTTAGGTACTGTTGTTTCTTAATGCTTCATACTTCAAACACATGCAAAAAATCAAAGGTTTCTTTAGATTTTTTCCCCATCTTCCTCCTCCTCCTCGTCGTAATACCCTTCCTAAACCTCAGGCTTACTCCAGCATTGCAAGAGACACAGCAAAGTTTGAGAAAATGGATCTACCCTTCCTACCAACTCAGCTATCAAAAAAACCCCTCTCAAACCCTTGAATCAAGAGAACCAGTATCTTTTTGTCTCCAGAAATCCGAGGTCATCCGACAAACGACCTGGCAGTTGGTTTTCAAATGCAATAGCGCAAAACTTCAGCCACAATGCTTCCAAGGCAATGACTAAGGATACCAAGGGATCTGGGACTCCTCTGTCTTCAAAATGAACTCAATAAAAACGAGGCTGGTTTTTCTGCATACGAGTTTAAATATAAAAGCAGACAATACACAGACTTACATGCTTCTTATTCCATTTTAGAATTCAAAGAGTTACAACAATAATTCCCATTAAGTTCAACGTCTTGCACCTGGATAATCTGTTAGCCCTGTCTGTTCATTCAGGCAACCTTCTGTCCTTTCCAAACATTTAAATTCAACCACACTTCAACAGCCCTGGGAAGAAAGAGAAGAACTGCTCCTGAGACCCAGTTCTACCTTCAGGCACCAAATTAAAACTGCAGTCTTGCCAGTCCCCCTCTCACAGACGAGGCCGGCCACACTAAAGCCCTAAGCTATGACAGTGAGGCCCGTGGGAGGATCAGGCTTCACCGACCAAAAAATTGAGTCAAAATTTTCTCCCACAATTTCATTCAACATCTCACCCGCCGCACACAGACTTCCCGCAGCTCCCGGAACACGCTGCTGGATTTCAAGACGCACGGTGAGGATACGCCGGCTAGAACTTTCTGTTCAGTCTACCGAGCTTGTTTAGCCTGACCGTATGGGGTCCCTTCCCGTCTTACCTCTCCTAACACAGAAGAAAAAGGGCAGGAAAAAGAGAACAAAGGCACCATTACCTGTGGCAGATTTTTTTTGTTGTCTTAAGACAAGAAAACCCCACCAGCAGAACAAGGGCACCGACAGTGCCTTCTGGCTTTCAGCGCCTGCAGGGCAGCAGAGGGGCTCCGCAGCCCACGCGCGTGGGGGCCGCCTGTTCTCCGCGCGCCGGTCGCCCTCGGCAGGGTCCAGACGACACCCCCAAAGGCTCTGCCCGGCCCAGCAAGCCACAAAGCTCTCCGCAGGGGCGGGCCAGCTCCTGCCAGAACACGGCTCGGAGGCTGCCCAAACTGCG